TTTAGTTATAATAAACAAAAAAATGAAATATAATTTTTATCCGATTAATCGATTAATCGAAAAAATAATCGTCCGATTAATCGATTATCAAAATAATCGTTAGTTGCAGCCCTAGTTTATTACTGTTCTTTTACTGACACAAATTGACAGAATAGGAACAAAGGCTTACATAGCAACACTGAATGGAGCAACAAAACATTTCAAATATTGCATAAACTGTGCTTATGTTACAAAAGTTATGATGATAAATAAAAAAGGGGATATAAATAGTGAAGTAAAACTAAATGGTGGCCAGTTAAAGTATTTATAATTTGACACCTCCATTACATAATTGAATGAAAAATGTAAAGAATGACAGGATCTAAAAAACTTTCCCTTAAATAATTCGAAAATATATAATATTCATATTTAAATATATAGCAATAGCATAAATGTAATGTTATAAAAAACAATAAACTTATAAAAATGAATACAGCACCTAATATTAAATACTTTCCCTTAAGTAATTATAAAATCATCTAATTTTAAATATTATTTTCCTTTATTTTAGCTTATTATAAAAAATAATAGAATATACAAATAATACAGCATATAATAGTAAATACGAATTACAATCTAAAATCATTAATATAAATTAAAAATAATAACACTGTAAAAAGTTGTGTACATAATTCTTTTACTTTGCTTTAACTCATCAAAATATGTTACATTTCTACAACTTTTTTTATAAGTTATACAAGGTTCAATTCATTTTTTTTAAAAGTCAGTTTAATGTAATGCAAGTTGATTAAACATCCAAGTTGATTATATAGAGATGTACGGCAGCAACGTTTTTTTTACAGTGAATCTTTAAAAACTAACATTCATATAAATGCATTAATGCATGAAAACAAAAGATTAATGTCATATCCGAAGCATATTATTGTCAAATAATGTGATTTTATGTTAGAAAGGGACATTTTTGATTGACACAACTAGTTCAGCAGATCTCTGAATACTTCTTGTCAGATTAATTTGGGTTTCTTTATTGTGAGTCACAAATAAATGGTTGTTAGTTCAATCCTCCAGCTGTTTGTTTGATTGATTGCATGTGTGAGTGTGTACATTGCCAAATTAAGACCACAAATGGATTGAAACACTCCTTAGCTATTTTAATGCTCTGAATACCAATGCGCAGTGAAAAAAGTGTTATTTTTGGTCTGCGTGTTTTGACGCTGTTGTGCAGAATGTCTAGTGGACGAGTCTTTAATACAGCAAAGAAGCAAAGTCTAATTTAAAGCTCAAATGAGAGCTAAATCTTATTACAGACATATTTAAGAGCATGTATCATAGAGCTGAACTTAGTGATACCTTTGACTGGACAGTCTTTAATTCTCATGTGTTGGATTCTCTCTCTTTTTATTTCCCCCCTCCACACATTCTCTATCTAGTTCAGCTTTGCAGCTTTGATCACAACAGCTGGACATTTTTCAACTTGGCTCACTGCGTGTGTGTGCGTGCATTCCTCCTTTGAATGGCGAGTTTGTTAAGTCCGTAAAACTGAAGTCGTCCTTTGTCTCACTGGCATGCGGGAGATTTAATCCTGAAAGAAGAACAGACATACACAAAAACACGCTTAGACACACTTTTATCGCCCTTCTCTTTCATTTGCCAGCCAAATTCCCAACTCCTAACTGTAGGATGCTGATATGACGCGTTAATATTGATGTCTTATATTTTTTTAGCATGACTGCATTTAATTTTAAACAGTCTGAGGCTTTCTTTTTTTCTCTTACACTCTTTTCATTCATCTGGTGATTACATTACATATTCCTATTACTATTACTATTTTATATAATATTATTCATTTTAAAATATATGTATTTTAGATGAAATAATAAACATTAGATCTTTAATTTATTAATGTGCTTTTATAAGGGAATTATAATAATTTTTGTATTTTCTGATTTCATGTTAAAATTTAGTCATTTTGCTGCATATTTTTGTCTTTTTTAAATATGTGTATAGTTTTATTTCATTTTAGTAATTTTAGTAGCCTATGTCAGCTTAAATTAAATTAAAATGAGAAATATTGTCTAGGCAATTAGCAAAAAAAAATAATATATATATATATATATATATACGTATATATATATATATATATATATATGAAACAAATGTTTGTTTGTTATAAGTATCAAGTATCAAAATGTTTTGTATCATTTGAGTTTTAATTAATTTGTCACATTGCATTACTAATTAAGTGAACTGCAAAAACAAGTTTTAAACATTAAAGAAAATGGTGACCAATTCTATGAATCGCGTCCCTTAAATAATTGAATCAAAAGTAAATATCAAAAATGCTAAGCCATCTAATATTAAATATTACCTTAAATAATTACATAATAAAAAAAAAACATCATTAATATTAAATGAATTTATTATTTAGAAAAAATTTTTTTTTAAAGAAAATATATTAAAATAATATGGATATATTTTAAACACTTTATTTGAGTAAGAGGCATGCGGGGCCATTTGTCAATTGTTTGGCTCTTTAAAACTTTTTTTGTGATGACATGTTGTACCCCCTCCTTTCATCCCAGAGTACTGAGTTGGTCTCCGAACTTGGGTTTTGAAAGCCTGAATAGCTAGTATCGTCCACACTCACATACTCACATTTTTGGTATGTTTTGAGCCTAAAAGTATCATTTATCTTCTCAATGCAGAACCGGGTCGTCTGATGTCTTAAATTCAGCGCTGATTCATTTTAGACCCTCAAGGCCTATCTCTTCTTTCTGGAAGGGTCATCCAGATCTTCTTTTCTCTTCTCTTTGAAGGGCCGGTGTTGTTCAACAGATCATTGACCTCTTGGCTCACCTGATCCAATCCTGCAATCCTCATGTGACCCTGACATCTGTTGATGTCGTCGTCCGCTTTCAGAAGAGTCATGTTGGGATGCTTTTCTGCTTCATTTTAACCCATTTTCTGTACTTTATCTGCAAGTCCAGACTGGTTTTGTGCTGATCTTGCAGGTGGACCAGTATAGCTATGCTTTTCAATTGGAAAAGTTAACTAGGAGGCTGGATTAAATGGTTCTTTGACATTGATTGATAAAGGAAGCCTTGCAGGTTAAGCTTGTTATGAAGCCTGGTGGGACATCCCATGCTGAACACCTCCATCCAGAACTCAACATGTGGTGGTGACCAGTTTTCATCAGGGAGAAGCAGACCAGATGAATCTCTGGGAAGCAATTTTGTGAATTCCTGCGTCTTGGGAATGAGTTTTAGGGTTTTTGCGGTGGGTCACACAATGTCTATTTTTGGAACGCTTCAGACTCTTCTGCCTCCAGATGTTGTTTGTATTATTTGTTTATGTGTTTATGTATTCTTAGTTACATTTTCAAAGACAGCATCCCCTTGACAACGTATCATATGATGTGGTTATGGGTGCGGTCATGGCTGAAAAAGAAGCGGTCATGATGCTTTGGTATATGTTTGATTGGTAAATGTCTGTAGCAAGAAAACATCCATGGGGAATCCAACATAAAAGTCTAATGACATTTTGTGGAATTATGGAATGGATTGTTACTTTGGGACTGTTGGGTACATTTGCAAAACATCAGCTGTGCTTCTATGTTGGAGTTGCATAAAGGAACCAATACCAATAAAGTAACCAAGGATCATTTTTTTTCAGGATTGTACACTTTCCATCTTATGGACTGCTTGTTTTTTTTTTTTTTTTAACGTCATCTTTGAAGATAATTTTTTGAGTCTGCAAAATGTAAATACAGTGGTCAACATTTGAAGTGGTTCAAATACTCATCCTAGGAAAATGTTCAAATGTTGAACTTCTGTAGATTTGTTGAGGATCTAGAAATCAAAACGTAAGAAATTAAACATTTTTTTTTCTGCAAGCCCAATTTTACTGGCCCATCCACAACATTACGTATATTTGTTTGTTTGTTTTTTTAGCAACAATAAATTATAATTATAATAACGGTTGTTGTTTTTGCCATTTTATTTTGATATCTGCTAACATTTTTTTTTAAATGATGTTTCTTTCCAGAAAATCCTAGACTTACATTTTCAAAAAATAGAAATAAAATAAAATTCCATGATAGCTGAAAATGTCATCGTGAAAATACAACTAATTTTCAAACTAATGCTTACAAGACCGTCACAACATGCATTTTTAACAAAACGACTGTTATAAGAAAACAACTTAACTTGTGATTGTCGTGGTTTATGATTGAAGTTTTGAACACGTACAGTACATGCTGAATCTAGTCATTTCTCTGGAAGCAATGGGTAAAAAAAAATGAATGCACAGATATTAATGTTTGATTCTGCTAACTGCTTCTTGAAGCTATATTATTATTATTATTATTATTATTATTATTCATATTTAATTACAGGTAAGGTCAAATAGGATTTACCACAAAATTAATTTGATCAAATCCAGCCAGTTTCCAGACAGAGAGGGGGGAGCAGGAGACAAACTGAGAGACATTCCTCCAGGGTCCCTCCCCTGTGGTTTGTTATGTGCACAATCTGAAGAATGCGTGTGTATGGGCTTCTGCCAAACCCACAATCCCAGCTCCCATACAATGATCTATCCAATAATACCACTTGATTTATTACCTGGATTTGGCAACCAGTAGCAGGTTGCACAGCGCAGGTCTTCAAATATTTTGTGGGCGTGCAAGTCATTGCTCATACTGAATGGAATCTTCGTGAAGAAACTGTATGAAGGTGTGTGTGCGTGTGTGTCAGGTATGCACTATGTTATATGGGGACAGAAAGATGGCAATATCCAAAATCCTTGTCCTTGTGGGGACATTTTTAGTCCCTATGAGACAAAACTGCTTTTAAATCATACTGTGATGAGTAGGTTTAGTGTTAGTGTAAGGGTATAGAATGTAAACACAATGTGTGTGTGTGCGTGCGTGTGTGTGTGTGTGTGTGTGGTCTTGGAATTGGATTCAGGTCATAAAGTTCCTTTTGTGTTTTGTTTTTTCTTAGAGTCACGAGGTTACGTCGACAGCATGACGCACACATCTATGTCATCTGACGGAGAGCTCTTCCACTCTGATGTCACAGGAAGTCCCGCCTCCTGTCAGAGGATGTTCGGATCCATGCACTCTATCTCCACCCCCAGCCCATTGGTCAACACAGACAGGTAATGACTGTCAAACAAATGCATAGGGATGCATTGTATGTCAGTACAATATTGGCTGTTGATTGTATTGGAGATTTAATTGTGCATGTTCATTTCACATTTAGATTACTCAGTGAAAGTTATTATTTTGAAAAGCTAAAAATGTATTCATGCTGTTAAATGTAATCTTAAACCATCTCAAAATGAATATCCATTTTCATACTGTACATTTATAATAGTGTGATGGTAGTGTACTCGCACAAACAAACAAACACGCACACAGACACTCACACTTGGCCAATCGGTATTAGCCCAAATTGTATTATTGCTACATTTTGTAACAGTCAAATCAAAACTTCTCTACACAATCGAAGGAAATTCTGGCATTTCAGTTGCATGTGTGGTCACTGGTCACATTATTGTGTATCTAGTCTATATTTAACAATAAGGGCTTGACATTAACTTTTTTGCTCACCGGCCACTGTGGCTAGTGGTTTTCAAAAGTTTTTTCACTTGCCACAATTTGTACATCGATACCATAGGGGAAAAAAAACGCCAAATGCAGTAGTCAACATATGAAGTGGATCAAAACCTTTCATCAAAGGACAACTTCTAATGACCTTTTTTGATCCACTTTTTATACACCACTGTAGATATTTTTTAATATTATCTCATAATTTGGCAATCTGTATACTAGGCTAATGTCACTTTATGGCCTTACACACGGGCTCATTATACTGTTTTATATAGCCAATATAATTGTCTTTATGTGCACACACTTTGGGTGTGAGCACAAAATCTACGGGAATGAGTAGAATGAAAGCAATCTATTGCCAAAATTCAACCCCTGTAACACCTACAATATTTTTCCAGAGCAAACAAGCGAGTAAAGGGACACGGATTTGTGTGTCAACTCACTGTCAGAGATATTAAAGAGCGAGAACGCGCTCCTGATATTGTGTACCCTACCCTGAAATAGTTTCAGATATTTCGAGTAGAGTATCAATATGCATAGAAGGATCAATATTTTTGACTACACTAGATTAGTTTATTATTTCATATGCCTTTTTAAAAAACTACAATTGCTAAATGCATATTATATCAAATTCAACATTTGGCGGGTGTTAATGTCAAGCCCTGTTAACAATGTATACACACACGGTAGGGTAGTACATCATGATATGTAAAAGATAACCCTGTGCTGTGTTTTCTTCTCCTTACAGCCCCACTCCAGCTCATTGCTGGTTAGAAGGTGGATCGAGCACCCCCTTGAGTCACTACACACCCCAACCCTCCCCACCCCTCACCCTCTCGGCACCCAACTCCCACAGCTCCCCTCGCGGAGCTCCTCGCAGCCTGACCTCGTCTCTGGATGTGGGAGGACTGGAGAGCAGCTTGCTGGAGGCTGTGGAGGGTCTTGAGGCTCTGGGTCTGGATGTGGCTCTACCTCCACATCTGCCCCTGAAGAGACGTGGGACGGAGGGCTCGGAGACCATGTTGAGTTTCCCGCTCAGCAGGAGTGCTGTCAGCACGTCCTATGCCAGTCACAACACCTCGCCTACCAGATCTACACCGAGTCCAGGTGAGTGGCATGCCTGTCTGCATGCACACACACAGCCACATTCAGCTTTAAAATATAATGTGGTGGTATTCATATTTGCAGATTTCATGGCCAGTAAACCGGAAAACGTGAAGTTTGTTCAGGACACATCTAAGTTCTGGTACAAGCCGGATATCTCGAGAGACCAAGGTAACAATATTAGATCATCAGTAGGACTTAAAGGAGTAGTTCACTTTAAAAAAAACAACTTTTGTTGATAATTTACTCACCCCCATGTCATCCAAGATATCCATGTCTTTCTTTCTTCAGTCGAAAAGAAATTAAGGTTTTTGATGAAAACATTCTAGGATTTTTCTCCATATAATGCACTTCAATGGGAACCAAACGGTTCAAGGTCGAAAAGACAGTTTCAGTGCAAACTGCAAACTGTTGAAAGGGCTTTAAACGATTCCAGATGACGAATAAGGGCCTTATCAAGCGAAACAATCGCTCATTTAAAAAAACAAATCAAAACAAAGTTTAAGTTTTATAAGCTCAAATGCTCGCCTTGCTCAGTTCATTTATAAAAAGACATTTTGATAAATATAAAGTTCAGATTGTTTCAAATATACATTTTTACTGTCACTCTTGATCAATTTAATGCATCCTTGCGGAATTAACCAAAATGACCAAACAGCCCAAGCTTTTGAATGATGGTGTAAGTACAATCTGTTTAATATTGCATTCGCTCTTAAGGGCATATATCACTTCTCATGCTGTCTAGAGTTGACCACTGAAAATTTGTAGAAAGATGATTTTCAATGTTTGTTTGCTCTATATGAACACTGAAAGTTACTTCTATCCCTCACAGCCTTGTTTTTACTTGCTACTTTTTAAGCAGACTGAAAGTCTGACAGATGTTTTCAGTCATATTTAGCAATGGAAATTCCTTTTTAATTCCTTATAGTAAAGCAATTGGTTCAGATTGGTTAATTTATTAAAAAATAAATTCATTCCACTCCTTGCACAGATGTAAACGGATATACTTTTTGCAGCATTTTAAATATAATTGATTTGACAAAAATATTTCTGACTATTTTTTAAAACAATATAATATTTAGTCAAATGCTGCTTTTCACAGTGTCTTCTGTGAAAGAATTGTTGTTTTATGTTTATTTGAGTTATATGTTAATTGATCAATTGATTACTCTCAAAGTCTCTTAAAGTGGATCTCAGAGTAGTTTTGCTTCTTTACCTCTTCGCTTCAAATATTACTGAATAATACATCTGTGTTTTTTTTTTTTTGCTGTAGCTATTGGCATTCTCAAGGATAAAGAGCCGGGTTCCTTCATCATCAGAGACAGTCACTCGTTCAGAGGAGCTTACGGATTGGCCATGAAGGTGGCCACGCCCCCACCCTCCGTTCTACAGCAAAGCAAGAAAAGTAAGAGAATGCTCCATTTCTTTTTATTATGACTTATGGTGAACGATGACGCAATCGACTGGGCTAACGCACAACCTGGCCATAAATTACGTACCTTAACAAGTCCTTGGTGTGGAAAATATCTGATTCGGGTTCCTGGTTTGACAATTCTCTCTTTTTAATTTTTTTATGGAATATTGCAGTATTTATTATAACTGATTTATCCTGCACATTACATTTTTTTTTAATTCGTGTGCCCTCGTAATCTTAAATCAATATAGCTTCCCTTCCCACTTGCAATGACATCTCTTCTCTCTGACGATGTATTTTTTGGGCAGGAGAACTTGTCACTCACATGACATCACAGCAATAGCAAACCACAACCATCCAATGATCCAATCTATTGACTAAATCAAGTCCCGCCCTACATTTTTTTTCTTGTTTGAGACGGTTTCACGCTGATATATGTGAAGAAAAGCCTATCGCAACTTCTGTTTCATACAACTGTAAGCACTTTATCTGTAGCCTGGGAAAACCCAGACAACTTCCGGGAAATTTAGATTTGCTCTGAAAGTTAGTCTGGCAAAGACCTCATTCAAGCCCATTTCCAATCCGTCGAAATCACGGCACCAATCAGAAACGTTGGGGCGGGCTTTACACGATGACGACAGCGCTGGGATTTTGAAGCAGATTTTGTAGCCCACATTACAAAGATGGACGCCACCGTCGAACATCACTCGCTCGAATCAGCTATCGCGTCTGTTTTTAAACGATTTGAACGTTTCCTTTTTGTTACAGACTGAGCAAAGAACAACATTTGGAGATGTTTCTCCACCGGCCGCTGCTCTGCATACGTCATCTCCTTCATCGCTCTGGGGTGCGTTTCCCGAAAGCATCGTTAGCCAACTATGGTCGCAAGTTCCGTCGTTACCAATAGAGTTCAATGGAAATTGCGACCAACTTGCGACCATAGTTGGCTAACGATGCTTTCGGGAAACGCTCCCCTGATTGGTTTTAGGTCTACCCGCGACGTCCGTTGGTGACGCCCATCTGGAAATGATTTGTCTATGATGCTTTGCCAGACCATATCTCAGTTACAACTGAGAATGGTCTGGTTTAAACCAGGCTACTTTATCTGTGTAAAACCAGCCCATTCTCACCCCCAAGGCGTCACTTAACTGACGCCTTGGGAAGCATTTGGACATGCTTCAATATCTGACGCTTTAGGCGCCCTTTAGCGTCAGTTAGATGACGCCCTAGGATCGCGTGTACCCTACCCCCACCCCACACCTAAACCTAACCGCGTCCTCTAACTGACGCTTTCCTTTAGCGTCAGTTAGATGAAGCCGTAGGTTCGCGTCATGTAAGTGACGCTAAAGGGCACCTAAAACGTCAAATATTGAAGCATGGTCAAAGGTGACGCCTTGGGGTGAGAATGCGTTGGTAAAACAGGTAAATATGAACAGTCCATAGATTCTCAGGCTCTGTTTACAACTGGTATTGAGATGCGTTTTGGTCGATCATATCACAAGTGGACGATGCTAAATACTAGGGCTGTATTCAACCAAAGAAATCCTTAGTCGACCAAAGTCGAGTCCTGCGCAACGATTAGTCGACTGAAAAAAAAAACCTGACCACACCACACGCTGCAAAAAATATAACTGCTATCTGCCACATAATGAAAAATCCCAACAAAAGCTCTCGTTTATACAGGCTTTATCCACAAGTTTCCGAGGGGCGCTCCTGTAAAAAATAAAGTGGGTGAAACTTCCGGTGACGCGGCGGAAGTAGCATTCCAATGGTATTTTGTGTGTTAGTTAGCGAAGAGGCTAGCTGTTTTTCGAAGAATTATTTTACTATTTAAAGACTATTTAACTATTTCAAAATCTTTATGAGAGATGTCGTTACGGAGCTCAGGGACAACATGTGCTGTTCGCGGTTGTATGTATAGCCGGACTAAACTAATTTAGTGGCTTAAACGGGATTGTTTTGAACATAAGCTGAAAACGAAATCAGAGTGATTCTGCCAACGACTGAAGTTTCCATCAACCTCCCAAAAGACGACGAATCTTCCTGTGTACATTTGTTTAAATTCTTAATGTTCTATAAACTCTATCAGCATGTGTTTGGCTGTTCTCTAATGATGTTACACCTAAACTCAGGATCAAAGCCTGTGTTGACAGAATACCAAATGTGCCAGTTAATGTATTCAAGTAGCACATACATTTAAAATTTTGAATAAACTCCAAAGCACAATGACTAAGTGTGTATTTTTTATTTTAATTGTTTGTCAGCTCACACAACTGTCTGTCACCATGCCTTGATGAGTATTGATTATTAATAATGTTATTATAATACTCCCAATCAACTACTGCGGAGGGTAAAGGTACTGTTATTTCACCCTTTTGAATTTCGTTGAGGTTGTGTTCCCACATCGTTAGCTAGTTTGGATCGCTATAACTTGAATGACTGTCAACTGTTGAATGAACCAGTGTCAAGTATGTCAAATCGCGCTTTGTTTACTTCCAACCGGAAGTCGCGCCCACTTTTGACGCAAGGCCTCATGGGGCGTAGGAAACTTGTGGATATTCTTCTTTACTTTCAAAGCTATGGGTTAACTTTAGTCCTGACGATCAAGGCGTTTTAAACAACACACAAAAAACCCAAATAACTTAAATAACTCATTATTTAGGCTATTTTAAAATGCGTCAAGTGTACAAATAAAAACGAAAACATTAAGAAAACACAATCTATTGAGTCAGTATGATATAGCCGTTAAAAGGCTGCTCGCGTCTTTTGCACGCTCAAGTTCGATTTCAAATGTAGGCGCGCGACTTGCGCGCTCATAATGGAGCAACGCGATCGCCTCCCTCCACAGTCTTGTCGTCTTTGTTTTAAAATGCAGCCAGAGAAAAAATTTAGATTTCCTGGACATTTTGTCGACTAAAGCCAAAACAAGCAGCGTTCTAACTGAATGAATACAGCATCCCTTACCGAGCGCGAGCAGCAGCGCAGCCAGCCACAGGTGCGGTTCCCGAGTGTATTATGTGCGCTAAACTGTGGCGCAGTTACAAAAATAGCCTAAAGTTGGGGACAAAACATAGGCTAATTATATTTAGAATACAGTAATAAATAACTGCTTATAAATGAATAAATATCAAGGAGTAAATCATTGAAAAATTCTTTCTATTGGTAAAAAAAAAAATGCAACTGGTCGACCAATAAGAATGTCAGTCGACCAAGACGGCATCGACCGATTAGTCGACTAAACGACTAAAGTTGACAGCCCTACTAAATACAGGTGTAAAGGGGTCTAAAACGTTTGAGCTTGTCGACTTCCACTTCCCGAGCTAGTTGAAAACGCATGAGGTCGAATGTGTTCAAACAGCCACAATAGACCGCCTACTTTAAACATTAAGTGAAGTGGGCTAGCCAAGCGGGATTTAAAATTTGTCCGTTTGGGAACAAAGTTTGGTTTGAAGACGAAAAACGCACAATATTCTCTCGCCATTTTTCTGCCCATAGTCCCTCCCCTTGAAGAAATCAGGAAAAGTGGTCGAGAGTGGACAAAAGCGGCGAATTGAAACACAGGAATCTCCCCCTCGTCTTGTTATCCAATCGACCAAAATGAATCTTCATACCAGGTTTAATTGCCTGTACAGGGCAACTCCTTAAATGAATTGCAGTGAAATATTTGTAGACTTTAAGACCCTGAAGAGCTGGACATCTCAACACTATTGTGTGAGGAACAGCTGGAGCGTTCATATCCAGAGTCCCTCCATAAACATGGTGTGTCTCTCAATCAGAGGAAGGAAGGGGGAGACACACACACACACTGTCCGTTTCCATCTGATTATCATAGTTCTAGATGTCTCTGTAAGAGGGGGTTTCATACAGTATTATTATGTTGTCTTTTAATTGTTTACTGTATCATGAGAAGTTGCATTTTGAGATTGTTTTTTGTACCAAACAAACAAACTCTGATTTCTCAAAGTCTGTCTATCCTCAACATCAGTTACGCTTGTTCGGTGTTCAGAAACTTGACCTGCCCAGTCAGAATGAGGTATTAAGGAGGAAGTAGGAAATGTAATGTTGTTCCTAAACTCCTGATGAGAGTAAAATGCAGGAAAGTCTGTCCTTGCGCTGTTGCTTCTCCCCTGTAGATCACCCTTAGGGATCTCAAAATTAGAAACAACCAACCGAAATGCTCTTTATAACAAGATCCCTGATCATTTCAGAACAACTTTATCAGTTTGTATGACACATTTCAGTGCATTTCCTATTGCTATATACATGTAATTGCTTTGATAATTAGAAATAGTTTTACATATGGCATCATTTCCTGTCTATTTGCACAGTGGGTGATCTGTCCAATGAGCTTGTGCGGCATTTCCTGATCGAGTGCACACCGAAAGGTGTGAGGTTAAAAGGCTGCCCCAATGAACCCTACTTTGGTAAGTATCTGTTGATGTCATTGTCTGCATGAACGTTAAAGGGATACTTCACTTTTTTTTTTTTTTTTGGAAATAGGGTCATTTTACTACCATGAGTGCATCAGGCGCAATGATATGACGCAGCGCCTGAAAATAGGCTACCTTCCGTCACGTTGGAAGTTACTGACCCCGGGATTATTTTCAGGCGCTGCATCATATCATTGCGCCTGCTGCATTTATGGTACGTCAGTAAAGTTTCTTGATTATTACACAGGAATGAGAGTATAGTTCCTAGCCATATCAGCCTAGAAAATCTCAACTTTACATTTTCTGTTGGTGTTAGTGCGCTATGTAACTACAGAAGAGTCAAGTTTTAAATAGGAATAATATCAAAACTCTTTGGTCATTTTTTTTTTTTTTTTTTTTGAGAAATTCTAATGGTCTTGTCCACTTCAATGATGTATGCTAAGGCATAAGCTATGCTAAAAGTGGCACCGCCAGAACCAGAGATCGGCTGAATGGATTCAAAAACAGTAAAACTTTTTGTAAAATGACCCTATTTCCCAGAAAAAGTGGTGTATCCCTTTAATGAGGACTTGAGAGCTGCTATTTAAAGCCTTTTCATTTGCATGGTCAAGATCTCTCTCTAGTGGCCGTAACCAGGAGCGTCATGCAACTATTTGTTTCTATTTTCTTTTCACTCATTTGGCGTCAGTAGGTTTTACATTTTGAAAGAAATGAATACTTCTGTTCAGTAGAATGATAACATTAAAGACTTGTATATTGTTACAAAACATTTGTTTCAAATAAATGCAGCTCTTTTAAACTTTCTATTCTTTAAAAAACATTCTCAAAAAATATATCACACTTTCTATAAAAATATTGAATTGCACAACTGATTTCAACATTTATGATTATAAGAAATGTACCTCGAGCAGCAAATCAGCATATTAGAATTATTTCTGTGGGATCATGGGACACTGAACACTGGGGTAATGAAGCTGAAAATTCAGCATTGCAGTCACAGGAATAAATTGCATTTTTAAATATATTCAAATAGAAAACAGTTGTTTTAGACTGTAATAGTATTTCACAATATACTGTAGTATAACATACTTCTAAAAGCATTTACAAACATTTGACTCCAAAGATTTGAACAGTACATATCCTTTTTAATAAGCAAAATTACCGTCAAGCAACTACCGTCCATTGTCGTTGTATGAAAAATATGATGGTTAACCATTTAGCTAAACTAAATAAAAATGTATCCTGTATGTACAGGAAGTCTCACAGCTTTGGTGTGTCAACATTCAATCACACCATTGGCTTTACCCTGCAGACTTATCATACCAGGCAGAGGTAAGTAAAGTTATTAATGTGTATCTGCATGTGTGTTTTTTTTTTCTCTACTAACTGGATAGGCCCTTTTTCTTTTAGACCCTCTAGAAGAGTTGAATGAATCTCCTGCACAAACATCTACAAACTCTGCAGCAGAGCTACTTAAACAGGGAGCAGGTAACTGAATATCTGTGTGCATTGCACTGTTGAATTTGATCAATGTATAGGAAATGTGTGTTCATGTGCTAATGTGTATGTGTGTTGTTCAGCGTGTAACGTGTGGTTCCTGGGCAGTGTGGAGCTGGAGTCTCTGACAGGAGCTCAGGGTGTTCAGAAGGCCACCACTGTGATTTTCAGTATGGATCCACCAACCACATCCACTGTTGTTCACTTTAAAGTGTCTGCACAGGGAATCACCCTCACAGACAACCAGAGGAAGTGAGTATCTCTCTCTTTGTTTCTGTTTCTTAATTCATATTTTATAGTCAGGTGGGTTTTTAGTGATAATGTAATGCCATAATTTAAGGTGAAATAAATTGGCACATTTTCATAAAATTTCATAAAATGGTAAAATGGTGACATTTCGGCTTCAACGTTATTCAGATATGATAGCTATTTTGAAAACTAATTTTGGTAATGCTGTGTGTTTTTTGTCATTTTTATAAGACTCTTATGCTCACCAAGGCTGCAATTATTTGATCAAAAATAATAAAAACATTAAAAAATATTGTGAAATATCACTATTTAAAATATAACCGTTTTTTATTTTAATATACTTTAAAATGTAATTTATTCCTGTGATGTCAAAGCTGAATTTTCCGCATCATTACTCCAGTCTTCAGTGTAGCTGAACATGATTTACTGCACAAGAAACATTTCTTATTATCATCAATGTTGAAAACAGTTGTGCTGGTTAATTTTATATATATATATATATATTTTTTTTTTTTCTTTTTTTCAGGATTGTGTTATGAATAGAAAGTTCAAAAGAACAGCATTTATTTGAAATAGACTGTATATATAACTGTATATACAGTAGGTATGGTGATTCTTATTTCACCAAGCGCAATATGTTCCTGGATCAACACCATGTTTGATCCTGGAACAACATTCCAATCAACCAATCAGATTTGAGGGACAAGTTTACAGTTTATGTCAAGTTTAGGCTTACAACCAGGGTTAGGTGCGTCTACATCAGTGTTATTAACTTATCATTTCCTTCACCTTTCACATCCCCTTTAAAGCGATACTCCACTGTTTTGTTTTGTTTTTCATATCAAACTATGTTATTCCCTTAACTAAGACGAGTTGATACATACCTTTCTTGTCTCAGTGCGTGCGCTCAATCGCTCTGGCACGCGAGACACTTTAATAGCACTTAACTACTAGCCCAGTTCATTCAATGTGGGCCAAGCAGAGAAGCGACCAAACACCTCCACGTTTTCCCTATTTAAATAGGCTACAGTTAAACGCGCATATATATCTATGGACTCGGCGCAGGACTTTTCACGAGTGATGATATTACTGCGCCGAGTCGAAGTGCTCCCAAGCATTTGCTGTGGTATTCCGCCATACAATCTAGTTATCCATTTTACACGCTTAGAAAAGCGCAACGTTTTATTTTGTGTCACCATCCTAGGTCAAGTTACACTGCTCGAGTAACTGCATTTAAATAGGGAAAACATGGAGGTGTTTGGTCGCTTCTCAGCTTGGCCCGTATTGAATGAACTGGGCTAGTTAAGTGCAGTCAAAGTGTTGAGCTTTGAGTGCACGCACTGAGATGACAGAGGGATGTAACAACTCGTCTTAGTTAAGGGAATAACATAGTTTAATATGAAAAAAAACAAAAACGGTGGAGTATCCTTTTAAGGATAATTTATGGGTGGGGTTGGAGTGACTACATTTTCGTAAACAAAACGTGTTGATCCTGGAATATCCTACTTGGTAAAATCATGGTGACCAATGACCATACGTGTGTATATACATGCATACAATGTTGTATTGAGTTTTTACTTTGTGTTTCCAGATTGTTCTTCAGGAGACACTATGCTGTCAACACAGTGATATTCTGTGCCTTGGATCCTCAGGACAGGAAGTATGTGACACACACACATACTTTGGGCTTCCATGTTTCATGCTTTCCATACACCTAATGATTTTTATACTGTACAAACTGTATATTTTACGTTTTCAAAAACATCACTTGGTATGATTTATGAGCTGTTTTTTAGATTCAGTATGTTCATTTGGCAATTTGAATAAATTAAATTCAACATTTATTTATTGGATTTTTGTGGGATTATCTGACATCTCAACTGATCTGTTCACAGATGGACACGAGACGGCTGCACAGCTGCAAAGTGAGTCCCAATCTTGGTTTTGTAGTAGTGCTAGTTGTGTATTTGTGTAAACGTGCTCCTTGGACATTTATTCATTGTTGTGCGTGTGTGTGTGTGTACAGGATCTTTGGCTTTATTGCGAGGAAAAGCGGAAGCAGCACAGAGAATGTGTGTCACCTGTTCGCCGAACACGACCCCGAGCAGCCCGCCAGCGCCATCGTCAACTTTGTGTCCAAGGTGATGATAGGCTCTCAGAAGACCAAATAGAAAAAAAAACAGAAAAAAAAAACAGATTCTGGCAGATGGAAATGAGTCACATCCACACTGAGGACATCTTCGACTTCAAATGTAGAACATCAAAACATACTCTGTTTTGCTACAGTTATGTGATCAGTTTCGCTTGCTGATGGTGTTGAGAGAAGATGAAACATCAGTATTGTAACTTCTCCCTGTTATTTGGACAAAATGGGGCATCGCTAAACTTCATGGGGCCCAGGAACAAATTTATAGGTGGACCTTAATGGCCGACCCTTTTCACAAGTCCCAGGACAACATTCCTGATGACCATTCTGAGGATGATTTCCACAGGAAGTCTTTGAAATCCATGCAGTACTGTTGCATCAGGCGAGACGTCCAGTAGGGGGCGCCACACTTCTTTAGCTCAGTCTCACACTGCCATAAACAGAGTCTGATCAAAGCTGTTGAAGGGCTAAGGGGGGAAATGACTTAACAGTTGTTGTTATATTTTTATTATTATTATTATTATTTTAGCTGCTTAGAAAACTTTTTTTGAGTTTCATTTGCAGAATTTCGGAGGTCCTTTTGTTTTGTAAATAATAATGATTAGGTGTAACTAGATTAATATGTATCTGGGCACATGCGTACATCCATATGATGCAGACCAAAGAACATTTTTCTTATCAATTTACAAAACTTCAATGTTTTCAATTTTATAAATATATTTGTGTATATCAAATACCACTTTAATGTCTCAAAATGTTCAGTACATTGTTGTTTATCAGTGTTTTTGTTTATAAGTGCAGAGCTAACGTTTTCAGTCAATGACAAGTGGTTTCCTTAAAAAGCATGTTGGCTTAACTTTGTTTATATATTTGGAAATATTTATCATATAACTCATATTCTGTGTATATTCATTTCTTACTCATCTATGCGGCATGATTGTTAAAACGTCTTATTTGACAAATAACCATATTCGAGGTAAGCAACATGTCATTACTCTCAGTAAACTCAGTACTGACATATTATTTTTACTGAACAAGTGTGTAAATGCTTGATCAAAGAGGATTCTGGGCTAAAAGTTTCACTTGGAATAAATCTAAATCAGACATAAATATTACAAAAACTGTTCTGTACTTTTCTTGTGCCGTCTCTTTGCTTTATTTGTAATTAAACTAATGTTTTATGGACTCTACTCTATACATGCACAGAATGCAATATTGATACTGTATGTTAAGAAATTGAGACAGTGCTTGTCATGAAAGGACATCTATCATGAGTTCTGTCGACATGCTAGTTGGTTGACTTGCTGGTAAAGCCACAAAAATGCTCATGCTAGTTACGCTGACTTATTTTCTTACCTTCTTATGGCTGTAACAAACTTCACGAGTTAGGTAGTTTTCTTTAAAATGGTATTGCTATGTTATATTGTATAGCTATCTCTTGAGCTACAAACATGTTAGCTGCCCCAAAAATCATGCATTACATTTTGGAACTTACTTTGCGACCATTAAAACATGTTCCGTATAGTATACAGTAAATGTGTGTGGAAGTAATTTGGACATCACAACGTCATGTTGTTTGTCATGTGACCTACTCCACTGCCCATCATAAAACCTCTCCAGTGGCCTCATGGGATAATAAAGTGCCAATTGGACCTGGCATAGTAGGTAATTCAGATAATTTCTGTCTACTGTTTTATAAATACTATGAATTCTGACATAATACTTAGCTCACATACTCTTTTGACCTACTATATAGTATAAGTTGGCATTCAGACATAAGGGTTAACCATTTTTTGCAAACAATGAATTGCTCTGCCTTAACTGTATGCCCTGTTCACCACAAGAATGAAAACTATAACAATATTAGCATCCACACTAATGCACAATATCTTTCTTATTCGTGTTCAGTGTATTTATGGTGTCTGCTCACTGATCTACAGTATATAGAATGACATTATATTAATGTCATTATATAGATCAGTGTGTCTGCTGCTTTAAATGTGTAAGCTCTTTGAAGTCAGATGGATTCTGATTGGCTGCCATTTTTTTATCACTTATCAGCTGGAGAAAAATTATGATAATAATATTGTTCTTCTCTGTCATTATTATGGTGTTGAATTCTCATAGAATTAGAATGATTATTAAAACTTTATAGTTATTGTTAGTTTCTTATTGAATGCCATTCAAATATATATTTTGAATAAACTACTATTTATTATTATTATTTTTGTTTGTATTTGTATTAAACATGGGGGTTTCTTAGGGGCACTTTTAGCTTTGTGTAGTTGAATAAAAAACTTGTTCAAAAGTCACTAAAGGGATAGTTCACTTTGAAATACATTTTTGATATGTTTTAGCTTACATCAAGGGCATCCAAGATGTAGGTGTCTTTGTTTCCACCGTATTTTGATATTTTTCGGTCAAACCGTTGTTGTCTGTCAGTCATGGAGGGGTCAACCTCAAAGAGGATGCACAGAGAAGTCCAAATTAAACATGATTTAATGACACGTAAATGTAAGTACACATTGATGGCCTAAGACACGAAAAACGAGCGGTTTGTGTGAGAAAACGAACAGTATTTATATCGTTTTTATCTCTTGTAACCACAGCCATCTGAAGGCATGGGCGCTTCGGTCTGCGCATGCGCCGGAAGTGATCGCTTGCGCATGTACGTCACTCATTGTTTACATAGAGATTTCGGAAGTTTTACCTTTCACTGTAAAAACATAAACATATTTAGATAAACTTCATAAGCAAATGATATAGCCTCGACTATCCATTTGCTCATAACCTGTTTAGATGCAGGGGACTCTTTTTTGAGTGACCCAAAGCAGACAAATAATTGTTCAGACTTACGCCACAGGGCAGCTCTGTGAACGTAGGCATCTAATGCCCGAACTGGACATAACAGGTTCAGTCGTTCCTGATCTGGGGTATTAAAAGGTGGAGGATAAAAGGCCTGCAGCACTATAAGGCCCCACAAAATAAACTGGGACCTAAGGAGTATAACCCGGTCTAGGGTATAGAAATGCTTTCACCATACCCGGTGCAGATTCCAGGCATAAAGGAGCAACCGACAGGGCATGCAAATCTCCGGTAAATGAAACAGCAAGGAGAAATGTTTTCAAAGTGAGGAATTTTTCTGAAACCTCTTCAATGGGCTCAAAGGGAGCCAAAGCCAGACCCTCAAGTACAATGGCCAAATCCCAAGCCAGTGCTCTGAGTGCAGTGCAGGTTTCAACCTCATGTACCACCGAGAAAAACTAGTAATTAGAGGATCTCTCCCGATAGAAGTACCACCCAGAGGGGTGTGGTAGGCCGATATAGCCGCCACGTAAACCTTTAAGGTAGAAGGAGATAATCCAGCAGAGAAACGGTCTTGCAAGAAATCAAGAACTGTACCAACAGGGCAGTTAACAGGATCTTGGTGATGTTCCCCACACCAGATGGAGAATAATTTCCATTTCAATGCATATAGTTTCTCTCGTGGAAGGAGCTCTGGATTGGAGAATGGTCCCAACGACCTGAGTCGAGAGACAGGATTCTATGAGCCGGGCCCCCTAAGAGGCCAAGCCACAGTATCCAAACTCCAAATGAGGGTGAACTCCCGGGAGCAAAGATATCAGGAAATGCCCCCCAACTTGTGAGGGAAGCATCCGTCTATAACATTATGCGTCGACAGGAAGCCCCCAACAGTGGGCCTGGGCGAGGAACCAAGGTTCTTCCTTAAGACCGAAGCACGAAGGCAAAGCCGCGTGACCTTGATCATGTGAAAAACATTTTTCTCCTCAGAGAAAACCCCTTGGTCCTGAGCCATCACTGCATGGGTCTCATGTACAGAAGGCCAAAAGTAATTACGTTGGACGCAGCTGCCATGATATATACCCCATTTACTGCTGTAAAAGGCTACACCTAGAAAAGTGGTCCTCAGAGCACACTCTTCTTGGCGTTGAGCAACAACCCCCAACATCTTAAAATGAGACAGAACGACATCTCAATGCCGAACTGCCACATGCTCAGATTGAGCTAGGATCAATCAATCATTGATAGTATAATATGCAAATGCCCTGGAGTCCAGAGGAGCCAGAGCTGCATCCATGCATATTGAAAACAAAGATGTGGGGTGAGAACCTTTGCTGAATAGGAGAACCCGATATTGGTATGCTTCGCCCCCGAAAGCAAACCTCAGGAACCTCCTGTGATGAGGATGGAAAGGTAAGTAAGCATCCCTTAAGTTTATTGAGAGAAACCAGTCCTCGGACTGAATCTGTGACACAATCATATTTAAGCATATTGAACTTAAGATTCTGAAACCTGCTGTTTAATTGACACAGGTCCAGAGTAGGACGCAACAAGTCATCCTCTTTCAGAAACAATGAAGTAATGGCTGTCTGCTGGGAGGAGGAATCCCTTCTACAGCTCCTTTTACAGAAGTGTCAATACTTCCTGCTCCATAACCAAAGCCTGCTCGGGTCCACCACTACGAGGAGGACCCCTAGAAATCTGGGCGGACAAGAACCGAACTGAATTCTGAAACCCTTTTCTATAGTGTGCAGGACCCACTGAGAAATGTGTGGCAGTAGTTTTTACGCTGCCAGAAATTCTCCTAGGGGAACCAGTCTCTCAAGACTGGCCTCTGGATTTGCTTGAACAATCATTTCGGTGCCCTGAAGCGGCGAACCGACAGGGAGCAACCGAACTGACCGCTCTACGACCCTCCTCGGAGGATCGTATGGGGACGCCGACACCTCGGTGTCCTGAACGACGAACCAGCAGGAAACAACCGAACTGGCAGCGCTGCGGCCCTCCTCAGAGAGTCGCACCCCATGGGGTTGCCGAGGAGAAACGATTTCTCAAAATCGTCCCTGCCCCGGAGGAGCCCTCAGAAGCCTGATAGCCTCATTTTCTTGTCTAAGCTTTATTAGAGATGATGGCAGTCCTCAGATCTTGCCTATCTCTTAACTAGCTTAGTTCCTACGACCCTCCTCGGAGGACCGTTGGATAAAGCAGGCACCTCGGCGCCCTGAAACGGCGAACCGGCAGGGAAACCGAACTGACTGCTCTTTT